CAACAAAAATGAAAATATAAATAACGATCCTTTTTTTATACATTTTAACTTCACGCTATTATTAAATGATATTTTTTATTTTGACAAAATTTTTCTTCAATGACAACTTATTAGACTTAGGCAACTTCTTATACATTTTCCAGTAAATACTGTTGCCTGCCTATATTTTATTATTCATTTTTATTGATTTTACATAATTTTCTTTAATTTAAGAGATAAAAATATATAATAATAATAAATTAATGTTTTGCTTGTTTTACAAATCCATATACTTTTATTAAAACTAACATATATACTTTTTAATTACGAATTCTATTAAAAATTGCATTTGTCAGTATACGCAGAAATAGTCCATTAATACCAAAAACGAATTGGCGCTGCTGTCGCGCACGGAGCGAATAAATGAATAGTCATAGTTGAGACAAAATATAAACATTGAATGTATTAGATAAACAGAAAATTTCGTCCAGTGAAAACCACTTTTCGTCATCTGATTTAAATATCTATAATATTTATGAAAAGAATATTTAAATAAGTTTTATAAAACAATTCAACTTATCAATAGAGTCAATTAGCACGTTAAGCCCCATGCGCACCACACTGGTGCACAGCATATTTTCACTTCGGACCACGCGCACCAATTTGGCCACAATATATTATCAAGCAACTGTGGCCGTGCGAGCTACATAATTTCTGTGGTGTTATATGGTGATTTAGATAGCTCTGCATTGGGATTCTCATCTTTCAATACGGCACGTGTTGAAACGACTGTCTTCGTGTTACAGAATGCGATTTGTATGTAAGGTCTCTCTCTATTTGATTCGTTACGTGTTGAGTACGCACATAAGAATCCCTGTCCAGCTCTATATAAAAAAGAAATTTGACTTAGTTGAGCAAATCGTTATTCAATTTTTGTAGGTTAGGATACCGTAAACCGGGGTTACTTTGACTTTATGTGTTACTGTGACACCTTTAGGGGCGTGGAGGGGATCGAGCGCGCCCCAACAGGTTTTAGCCACAACGGTCTCCACCTCCCAGTGTGCCGTCTGGCGTTCACCGTAAAGTACCTTTAGAGCTTTTGGTAATTTTTCTGTGTTTTATAAGATTGCGCTGGCACCACTTGGGTAAGTCTATCAACATTGTTGTTTCTACTGTAGTTTAATAGTGTAATTAAGTAGACATAATTTTTCTATGGCTATAAATAGTATTTTATTTTTTGCTTGGATCTTGCATGTGATGGTTTTTTGTGTAAAAAAATTGTACTAGGCACTTTATTTTGTTTTAGATTAAACGTAAACAAATTTCAATGGTTAAAGTCTACAAGAGAAAGGTTGGTGCTCGACCTTATAAAAACTACAGGGAAGAAGACCTTGCCAAAGCTGTTGCATAAGTTCAAAATAAGCAACTTAGTCAAAAAGCCGCTACTTTGCAATATAAGGTAAATAGAACTACCCTCCTCAACAGAATCCATCGTAGACATGAAGGAAAACCAGGTCACTCTACAGTTTTGACACTCGAAGAAGAGAGACTAATTGCAGACACACTGAACATCGTAGCCGATTTGGGGGCATCCATTGAAGGAGGCTGATATTCGAGAGGTCGTGCATAAATTTGTATAAAAACAGGGTAGAAATGTTGCTCAGTGGAATGGTAATATGCCAGATCCTGACTTTGTGGACGCCTTTGCAAAGATAAATAATCTTAGCAACAGACTAGCTACAAACATTAAACCACAACGGGCATCAGTGAGTCGCGGCGAAATCACAGAATATTTTGAGAATATGAGATCTGCATTAGAAGGGACTCGTTCAGATTTGATTTATAAATATGACGAAACCAATTTTTCGTACGATCCTGGTACCACGAGGTCACAAGCATGTGGAAAGAATTCAGTCTGCTTGATGTTCTGTGGCACTGCTAAAGGTGAAATTCTTGCTTCTATGGTGGTATATAAGTCCAAAAATCTCTATGAAAATTAGACAAAGGGCGGACCGCCAGGAACTCTACAGGAACAGCCTCTCTGGATGGTTTCACATGGATCTGTTTGAGGTCTGGTGTTTCAGAATACTTTTACCGCACGTTAAAAATCTCAGAGTAGAAGACGAAAAAGTTTTCGTCATCGGAGATAATTTGGCAACACATTTTTCTCCCGAAGTTATCAGAAGTGCGGTGGATAACAAAATTTATTTTACAACTCTTGCACCATCTTCAACACACTTGCTCCAACCTCTCGATGTTGGAGTGTACGGACCTTTGAAAAAACAATGGCGTAAAGTTCTTGACAAATGGAGGCAAGAATCCAGAAAAAAAGGATCTATACCAAAAGAGCAAAAGAGCCACGGGACTTTATCTGTTCGATCCCCAGGCTGTTCTAAAAAAGCTTCCAAAGTAAAATGAAGAAGAATCAACACGGATCCTTGACATCAGTTTCCTTGAATTTCTGCAAGAGACAAGAGGTTTTAATAAAGACAGAATTCGACACAAGAGAGGAAAGAAATTCATCGTTAAAGCAGGGGCTCAACTAGTAAACAACAATGAGAGCATCCGAGTAGAGGACACTGTGCCAGACGAAGATATTAGTGAGGCTCTACTTCCAACATTTGACATGGTCAAAGGAATAAATCAGCCAGCTATCACTGAAGCTGGATGTTCTGGACAAAACCAGAAGACCCTCAAAGACCCTGGGTTAACAAGAAAACCATCAAGTAAAAGAATAAAACGCAAGCCCAGACGCTTCGACAGCTCCTCAGATGAGGACGATGTGCCTTTGAGCGTTTTAAAACAGAGGGTGACAAATGAAGATTCTAGTCTGCGTACTACTGACACCTCGCCAAACGAAGATGATGGTCATTTATGCACTATTTGTAAGGTTGATTTTCGTCATTACCAACTTAAAAGGCCATGGATTCGCTGTGTCACTTGTTGCAAGTGGGTATGTGGTATTTGCAATAAAGGCTCGAAAAATGTATCCTATGAATGTGAGCGGTGTGAAGACGACTGACTATTCTACTTAAACATTTTTGTTAATGTGTTTTTTAATAGTTCCTATGTTTTGTTGTTGTTTTTTTATTCTTAATAAGTTTATTTATATAGGATTACCTATATTATTAAATAAATAACCTATTTTTTTTAATTTAACCTTTGTTTTATTAAAAAAAGTTGTATAAAACAATTTTTTTTAAATTTATTGGTATCAAAGAAACCCGCCAGACGGCTATAATTGATTTTTAAATAATATAAAGGTCATGTTGAAGTAGCTCCCCCTCAGGGGCTAGATTGACATCTTTAAAAAAAAAAGAGTTCGGAACGAGTTTAATGAAAGAACTATACATAATTATTAATTTAATTTACTTAATTTTAATAATAAAATTGGTACGCCTATGTGCGCGGTCTCTTTGAAGTCGGTACTAATCGGTTATTCTTCCGTGTTGACTTGTGTCTAGAAAAACTATACTTTTTACAGACGAATCCCGATTTGGTTTTCATCCGGATTCACGTCGACTTCGTGTGTGGAAACGACCTGGAAATCTGGAACGTCTTCCCGCAGCCCAGGAAGTCTACAGCTACCAGGGTGGTACAATGATATTGTGGGAGGGGGGGGGGGGGTGTATGCATGTCGGAGGAAGGACTGACCTCGTTTTATTAGACGGCTTTTTGAATGCTACCAGTTATCGTGACAGTATTTTGGAACCTATTGTGCTTCCATATGCTGCAGAATTTGGTCCGAATTTCCAGCTTATGCACGACAATGTTCGTCCACACACACAGCCACGGCTCGTGCATGAATTTCTAGAAACTGAGCATATTATCAACGTTTTGCCATGGCCTGCGCAATCACCAGACCTTAATCCCATTGAACATTTGTGGGATTCAATGGGACGAAGACTTCTTCGTCAACAAAGTCAGTTTGACACAAGGGAACAGCTCTTTAATTGTCTTTCTGACCTATGGAATACTACAGACCAAATGGAAATTAACAATATCATTTTCAGCATGCCCAACAAATGCCGAGCTGTAATTATTGGACGGGGAGGTTACACTGCTTATAGATACAGCACAAACAATCGAGAATTTTGTTATTGTGAGATTTCTTGCATATCAAGTTATTGAGATTTTTTTTCTATAATTTATTGAAATAATTTTTGTTCTTGTAAAATTTTGTTTTTTGTTGGTAGTGTTAAACGAACGTTAGTATCATCAATAGCCACACAAATTTTTATGGTGTCTCCAAAAAGTTATAACAATTTTTATTCTTGGTCCCTAGATTTTTTTGAAGTGTGTATATACGTTGCAATATATTGTTTTATACATTCTGGTGTGTGTGTGTGCGTGCGTGCGTGCGTGCGTGCGTGCGTGCGTGCGTGCGTGCGTGCGTGCGTGCGTGCGTGCGTGCGTGCGTGCGTGCGTGCGTGCGTGCGTGCGTGCGTGCGTGCGTGCGTGCGTGCGTGCGTGCGTGCGTGCGTGCGTGCGTGCGTGCGTGCGTGCGTGCGTGCGTGCGTGCGTGCGTGCGTGCGTGCGTGCGTGCGTGCGTGCGTGCGTGCGTGCGTGCGTGCGTGCGTGCGTGCGTGCGTGCGTGTGTGTGTGTGTGGGACAATCGGATGCACACGGTCTAAACTGATAAGAAGCAAAAAAAAATTATACAGACCATGTCCACCTGACGTGGCCACAATGTTTTTTTCCCAAAAAATATATCAGAACCTCAAATCATTATGTACGTAGCAAAACTAATATAGTTTTGATACCAAAATTAAAAAAAAATGGTCTGGTTCGAGATGAAAGACACGCTTTTATACCCTGGGGCTTAACGTGCTAAAAATATTTTATAAAATAACACCAGGATATATATTTTTTGAATTATTTAAATTCAATAAAGTACAAATAACTGAAAAAATATAGAGGGCATCCTTCCGTTATTTTGTAGTAATTGTGCACCCGTTATATTGAAAGACGTGTGTTTCGTGACTTTAACTAAAATTATTAATTCAGTTAAACTTTTTTAGTAACACCAACCCTCGAAGAACCTTTGCAAGGCTACACAGATAATTTTAATGGACCAGTTACCCTATTTCTTGCAGGAGGAGTAGGTAAAAAAAATATACATTTTATTTTATGGGTTAACGTTAAGGTAAATCTACTATATAGGTAATCTGAATCAACTTATTACACTGCTTTTTTTTATACAAATATTTCTATTTAAATACATTAATGAAAAGTACAGAGGCGTCATATGTACATGACATGGACAAAAACACATTTTGACTTGTCGATCTAGAGCAAGGACAAGGACATAAAACAGAAGTTTGAAAGGATTTTGGTAGGTGGTGAGATGGTAAACATCAACCCCGTCGGAAGACTTTAATAATTTTGCGGTAATGTTCATCCACAGGGTGGACCAATCTTGTGGAAAAGTTCGATATCTTCCTTGTTGAAAGAGATATTAAAAAAGTGTATTAAGAAAATTATGATCAGGTTTGAGGTTAACATTTTAAAATTATTGGAAGGTATACAGGGTGTTGCATAACTCGTGTACGAACCAAACATATGTTTCCTTTAATGATAACCCCAGTATATTATTTTAGATTCTGTTTACTCATCTTCTTTCCATTCTTCTAATATATGGTTTGTTTATGTTATATAGGGTACTTTTCAAGGAATTGACATTTTTGTGAGAGAATCGTACATAATTCAACGTCCAACAGCCAATTACACACTGTAGAAAAAATTTTTTTTACCCGCACGAATTTTATAATATAATGTATTATACTTTTTTTAGTTATATTTTTATAATCTGTTTATTCGTACACAAGGAGACTCAATACTCAGACGCTTCATTTTCTTGTTTTATTTAAACGGGACACCCTATATTTTATATCACCAGTAAAATCATCTGTTCCAAGTCTTTCATTTTTATAAAGCATTCCCTATACCTAAAGTTAATAATTATTGATATTTTTAATATTAAATGAAAATTGTGGTTATTTCGATAAACTAAACTAGTTTTTCATAAAAAACTCTTTATCAACAGTCGCAAATAATATGTGTGAATACAAAAAAACTCAAAAACAAACAAAACAATTAAAACATGAATATAAAAGTTGTTCAAAGTGACCTCCCATAACATCAATACCATTCACAAAATATTACTCTATTTTCAAAATTCCGTTTAAGAAGTTCTTGATGTAACTGGATATGGAAAGGATGTATTTTGTTTGATAAGATTCTTTGAACAGTTCCGTAACTGACTTGTTGTTGTCTTAAAATATTTCGTTTACTAATATGCGGATCATCATAAATACTAAACAATACTTTCATTTAATTCTCTTCCGTGATAGCAGTTTTTGTTACTTGTTTTTGCTCGTATGATACAGTACCAGTACGATTAAAACGGTCCATTAGTTTTTCAAACGCCTTTTTATTTGGTTTCCGGCGTTCCGGATATCGTTGGTGGTACACTCTGGAGGCAAGTAAAGAATTCTTGTTGGACTCACCTAGTATATAAATCATATCCACTATTTCTGGGATAGAAAAATTCGTATTGTTCATCTTATTATTAGTAATTTACTTAAAACATTAACACACAGGCAGTTGCTCTTGATTTTTAAAATGTAAAAATTGTCAACTGGACGGTGACAGGTATATTAAATGCATTAGCGACTAGATAAAAAAATAACACATATTTATTATTGTTTATAAAGAGTATTTTATAAAAAACTAGTTTAATTTATCGAAATAATCATAATTTTCATATATTGTTAAAAAATATCGATAAATATTAATTTAGGTATAGGGAATGCTTTATAAAAATGAAAGACTTGGAACAGATTATTTTACTGGTGATATAAAATATAGGGTCTCCCATTTAAATAAAACAAGAAAATCAATGGTCTGAGTGTTGAGTCTCCCTGTATACAAATAAAAAGATAATAAAAATATAACTAAAAAAAAGTATAATACATCATATTATAAAATTCGTGTGGATAAAAAAAAATTTTTTTCTACAGTGTGTAATTGGCTGCTGGACATTGAATTATGTACGATTCTCTCACAAAAATGTCAATTCCTTGAAACGTACCCTATATAACATAGACAAACCATGTATTAGAAGTATGGAAAAAAGATGAGTAAACAGAATCTAAAATATTATACTGGGGTTATCATTAAAAAAAACATATGTTTGATTCGTACATGAGCTATGCAACACCCTGTATACCTCCCAATAATTTTAAATGTTAACCTTAAACATGTCCATAATTTTCTTAATACACTTTTTTAATATCTCTTTCAACAAGGAAGATATCAAACTTTTCCACAAGATTGGTCCACCCTGTATAACCAAGACAGATATGATCATTTACAAAATTTTTGAAGTCAACGCGGACGATCCTTGGTGGAAATGCAATATTTGAATAAAACATTGATGCCAAGTTTGTGATGTTTTTAACTGTAGTAATGTAATTACGTTTGCTTGCAATACTGTTAAGTCTTTAAATTATCAAAAAAAAAATTTTACAGCGTACCTAGACTCGACCGTTATTGTAGTATTTGTAAGGAGAGTCGTAATTTGTTTTATTCATAAAATTCCTTCGATACTGTACTAGTCCAGGAGCAAGTGAATTTTTTTCATACTTGTTTTCCCGGTCGGTGTATATTTAAATAATCTTCTTCCACTGAACTGTTATTTAAAATGGAACACCAGTCTCTATGAATAAAAGTAAACTAAATTGAATTCGCGCATTACGTCACATCGATACAGGTGAGCTTGCGTACAAAGTGCCTTTGCAGGCCTATTTTGCCCATTTCATGTATTTGTTTTTAAATAATGATAAATTAATATTTTTGAAACTTAACGAGAAGAAAATCAAATTAACTCTTCCGTTATATTTTCCTAAAGGTATGTCCTTACCACTAAGTAATAAATTTCACATTTTTTACCGTATGCGGGAATAGTAAAAAACATTTTATATGGAATCAGAGCCACCTATCTCAAAATTGATATGCAATAAGTATCGACAGATTTTATTATTTCTAAGAGTAACAAAGTTTGTTTTGAAAGTCATTTGTAATAGATAAACGAATATATAAATTTCGTAAAATTTACCTTCAGATAGTCTGGATGTTTTTTTCAAGAAGTATCTAATGAAGAGTGTTAAGCCTAGATAGGAACGATAAATCTCTTTACACACACATATCAACTGGGAGCATAAAAATGTTAAAGTAACGAGGCCTAAAACCTTGAATAGCGGCATTAATTTGATTGGGTTAATACCTTAGATTATACAAACCTTATACAAACCTATAGCTTCTGCTTCGCGTACCTTATCAAAGTCCGAACAAAAATATTTCCAAATTGAAAAAGAGGGCCTTGCAATAATTTTTGGCCTAAATAAATTTAATGAATATTTATATGGACATTTTTTTATCCTAGTTACAGATCACTTACCTCTGGTAACTATTTTTATCCCAGCTAAAGGTATACACCAATTTTCAGCCAACAGACTACGTAGATGGGCAGTATTATTGTGAAATTACAATTATAAAGCCGATTTTTTATCACTTTTATCTATTGAAAGTCAAAGTGAAGAGTCAAAATGAAGAAAAATTTGAAAAATATTCTTTAAATTATGTGTTTTATGTGTTTAGAGTTCCGTCAAATATTTCGCTTTTCAAAATGGTTCCGTCGCCAAAAAAGTTTGAGAAACACTAACTCCATAATAATATGGGATCATCCATTTAATTTATATTTTGTTATTTTCTCTAATTTTGACATATAAAGTAATTTTGTAATCGCAGCAAGTATCAAAACGATCTACTTTATTCAACCAGTTGCATAAAGTAGAACATTATGCAACTGATTACGAAAAGTTGATTGTGTCACCAGTTACGAAATAAAAATAAATAAAACTGCCTCTTTTTGGTTTTTAAGTCGAAAAATCGAGAAATCGAGAAATCGAAAAATCGAGTAATCGAAAAATCGAAAAATCGAAAAATCGAAAAATAAAAAATCGAAAAATCCAAAAATCCAAAAAACGAAAAAACCAAAAATCGAAAAAAAGGCAATGAATAGTGACATTTCACATTTGAAAATATGACATTACGTTTACCAACAAAAAAGAAAACAAAAAAAGCTGTAAATTGCGTTTTATTTTTTAAATAATTCAACATCGTTATTAAAACTGCCCAGAAATGTTGGGGGTAAAATTTTGACGTACTCCTTTAAGGATAATGGGTAAAAAAGTTTTTTCAAATTTCCCGCAAGTAATGTCAAAAATCAGATCGGCAACATTGCACATGTTCCTTTTTTTATTATTACTATTAAAAAAAAGTCGTAGTGCAATCAAATACAACAATTTTCTGAAAGAATGATGGAGAATCATTTTTCAACACAATTTTATAAATAAGTCAAAATTAAAAAAGATCTTTACTCGTTACACAAAATAAGGCATTTCGTAACTGTTTACATAAATAGCTATTAATTGACTTCTTAATATTTTAAATCATTGAACAGTATTTTGCGTAAATAATTAAATCATTAATAATTACCGGCATATAAGTACCAAAACAGAGTAGGCTTTTGTCAAATAAACTTAAAATATTATAACGAACGAAAAGGTAACCCATTTCTTATAAACGAAGTTTGAAATACTAAACGAAGATTAAAATGACATTTTTACATTAACAATGTCATTTTAATCTTCGTTTAGTAATTTAAACTTCGTTCAACACAACGGTGGAATCGACTCTTAGCTACTAGCTATACTGCCGTGTGAAGGTAAAGAGCAGTTAGTACAACAATAATGATTTTGAGTTATTACCAATTTAGTGTTTTTTGTTCTACGCAATTTATTTTTATTTCTATTTTAAATAAAAAAACATTATATAACGTTACTGTATAAGTATTATTTTTTAGAAAAAAGTAAAATTTTCTCACTTTGATTTTTGCTGAAAATTCAGCAGTTACTGCTGTTTACCCTAACAGTAGTACATATCAATTTATTATTAACAAGCAGTAAATGTAAGTAATTTTCCAGCTTTATGTAAATAATACCATCTCCAAAATAAATAAAACAAATACAAAATAAAGCAAAAGTTTATCAAAAAATAAAGCAAAAGTACATTAAATGACATGAAACTAAAAGAAAACATTCGTAGGTAGGTACCTACATAATTTAAAAATTATTGGTAATTATCTATCAAGTCTTCTACGTCATCTTGTTTTAATGAAAGCTAGAACTGTCGTCTGTTTTCAGCACATACTTTGATTTTCTTTTACTATACGGAGAATGGTCGCACTGCGCAGCTTTCTGAGTGCCTTTTAAAAGGAGATAGAAAACTCCGCCATTTTAAACCCTTATTACGTGTTGCCTACATCTTGGCACAATATTTTTAATGGTGCGTTTTAATCATCCGCTTCTGCTTCGGAATTGTCGGTTGTCTTGTTTTAATCTGACAGGTTAAAACGACTAAACTGACAATTCCGGAAGCAGAAGCGGATGAATAAAACGCACTTGATATTTTGCTTGCTGCTGTCAGTGTCAGTGAATATTATTTTTGGAGTCACAGTTTATTTCTAAAGAATCAGTTAGCTCACTCAGACCAGTTGAAAGTTCCAAAATAACATCCACTCCAGGGATACACATTCAGGATATGCAGAAGACTGCTGTTTTAGTATAGGCGGTTGTCATATATTGTATTATCCGAGTTGCGCAGTGTATAAACTGGAACATTGAGATCAAAAGTGCCGACGCAGAGTGAGCGATCTGATTCTTTAGCTATAAACTGTGTCATAGGGAGCAAAATGGCCGCGCCCTATGTTGGGTGTGTCGGACCTCTCTCTTGCCCCGTATAGTAATCAAAGTATGTGGTTTTCAGGCATGATTGGCACAGTTGCGAAATTATTCCTTGTTTCTAAAATGATCTCGTAGTTTAAAATTTACTTTAAGTAAATTATATTCCTTAAAGCTTTCGTCGTTAATATTATTTTTATAAAATAGTAATCTGCTACCTCGTATAAATTGTACCACAGATATATCGCACAGCAAGGGTCTGCCCTTTTGTTTGGATTTTCTTAGTCTTTTCCGTTTTCGGGTGCGAAATATTTCATCATTTATGTTTTCCGGTTCATTATTTACCGAACTTGTATTATCTTCTGAACTCTCAGGTTGTTGATAATTTGGATTATCAATTGAGTCGTCAGAGTATTCAGTAATTTGGCCTATTTCTTCATCGTTTTGTGCTTTGTTAGGCGATGTTTATATTTCGGGCGGTAGAAGGTCTAAAATATTTGGTATATTAAAAAAAAAAAATAAAAAAAAATCATCAAATCAGTACCACATGTTATAACATGTTTTGTGGTAATGATTTGGTGTTTTTCTTATTTCTTTTTATTATGACCACGTATGCGAAATGTAATTTATTATTTTTAGTTTAAGTCGCATTTATTGCAAAACCAAGTGCTTACCTTCTTGATATGATACTTCTGCCACTACCTCACTATCTTTAGTACCTTCCTTAAGCTAAATACTTGCTCCGTGACAACATTTTATTTATAAGTATAAACAAAAAAAAAACCGCTTCAAATTACAGTTGACGTACTAACAAGTCTGCGCCCGCTAAAGAACAGAGAACAACTAACCAAACATATTATGTTTAGGAAAAAGGCAGTACCTGGGTAGATACTTACTTATGTATTGACGTATTACAATCATTAAATATAAAAAATGTGAAGGAAAAAGGTAGTAATTAAATAAAAAGTAGATACTGCTCCTTTACATTCACATTTGAATTTATGTTTTAAGAAACTTTGTAGGTAAATAGCAGTAATTGGTTATTAAGTTAGATACTGCCTTTTACTGTAACAATGAGGGGTCACATTGTCAGATACTGCGATTTACCTATTTGATTCTGGCCTAAGTTGATTTATAAATGTACACCAAACCATATCTGAAGTTAGCGCAGTTACTGCTTAGGTATGTAACATTAATATCTCATTTTTAACAAAATGTTACTTACTGCTCTTTACCTTCACACGGCAGTATACTGGGTATACCAATAAAAACTACCAGGCCGGATAAATATCTCTATTTCTTACCAAAATTGGTAAGAAATAGAGATATTTTAATTCTGTAAATGCCAGTTCACAGAGCACTAAGAGAGCTTTAGTTTTAGATATAAATTGATTTTAAATAGGTCAATATGTAGATGGCGCTGTACTCAATAATTTTTTTTCGATGGGAGGATCTCTCTTGTGTAGCGCATCTTGTAAAAAATGCATTTTTAAGCAGATTTTGTTTAATGAACTAATTCGATATATCTAGCCATTTTTGATATACAGAGTGGGTCACTTAAAACAGTTTCATCCTGTTTTTCAGCAATAATCATTGAAATCTAAGAAAATGCTAAAACAGGTCGATTTTTATTTCACATTAAAGACATTTTCACAATACAGACATCTGTCATGTGTCAACCCCCTCCATTGTACTTCTTCACACCTTAATTTTAAATAGGTAATGTACCTTGTATGGCACATCATTAAAAAGGTAATTTCATGGGGGGTTCAAAAATATGTCTGAACATTGCATTACTTAAATTTTATCGCCCTCTAGCGGGATAAAAAACTACCACGTATTATAGAGTGTAATACTACAATGTGTAGTTCATCATTGAAAAGGTAATTTTATGTCGAATTAAGAAATATGACTGTTCATTGTGATACTTTTTATTGTACCGCCCTCTATCGGGATAAAAACTACGAAGGTGTGACACCTTATTTGAAAGAAAATTTAATTACTAATTCAATGTACCACATAACATTAATTATTAACATAATATTAAAATAAATATCCATATTGCACTTGCAATAGTTTGAAAATTAGTCATGCATTGTTTTAAACATTGCTAACTTTATTTTGTTGCAAGTGCAATAAGGAAATATTTATATTAATGTTATGTAGTGCATCAAATCAGTTATTTAATTAGCTTTCACACTTAATAATACGTTACAGATTTTTTTATGCCGATAGATGGCGTTAAAATTAAAAGTATCGCAATAAAATGTCTTTCTGACTTCCCCATAAAATAACCTTTTTAATGATGTGCCGTGCATGGTACATTCCTTATTTAAAATTAAGAGGTTGGAGAAGTGGAAGGGAGGGGATTGACACATGACAGATAACTGTATTGTAAAAATGTGTTTAATTTGGAATAAAAATCGACCTGTTTTAACATTTTCTAAAAATCCAATGATTAATGCCGAAAAACAGGATGAAACTGTTTTGAGTGACCCACGCTGTATATAAAAAATAGCTAGATTTATCGAATTAGTTCATAGAACAAAATTTGCTTAAAAATGCATTTTTTACAAGATGTGCTACATAAGAGAGATCCTAAATTATTGAGCGCAGCGCCATCTGCATATTGATCTATTTAAAATCAATTTATATCTAGGACTGAAGCTCTCCTAGCGCTCTATAAACTGGCTTTTACAGAATTAAAATATCTCTATTACTTACCAAAATATCCGGCCTGGGAGTTTTTATTGATAAAGTTTTATTGTTCTCATCATAAATGAATCGTGCTAACAAATAAAGTCAAACAAACGTCTCATAATTTTTCATCTTTTAGTTACCTACCAAATTTAGGTACTACAATACAAATATTTAAGTCTTCAATTATTTTGTTGTATTTCTATAAATAAACCAACTGGTAAGGTGAAACATTGTGATATATGCTTTTATTTATGTGTCCTATGCGTACACTTTAATATACAAAACACCTGGAACATTCTTTAAATAGTTGTGGTCGTAGGAAAAATTGTGTACGTAACTCGTTGGAAAGGGCATTTTATGCACTTGCCAAATGTACTCACCGATTAATCAGACAATTTTTTACTTAACTTTAGTATAGCTCTTACTAGATTTATTTTTATCACTGAATAAAAGGGGCCGTGTTTTCGTATGTTCTGACGTATTTTCGGCTTCAACCCATCGGACCCCCCCTCTAAATATATATAAATTTTGCTTAGAATTGCTAACCCTACAATTCTCTATCAATGTTTGCTGACTGGGAAAATAAAAACCAAAAATCGTCACAGTCTCCTGGACTATACAGTTAGTAGATGATGGTGATAACTTCATAACAAATACACTTTATCAAAGGCTAGTTGGGGATGTGTGTTTATCTACCACAATTTATTAAATTGACATATTTTGCGAAAAAAATCCCCAATTAACAACGACCAGAAAAATAAAAGAAAAAACGGCAAATAAAGCCCAAATTCGGCCTTCTTAAACTTGTATTTTAATATACTATTTTTATACCGTTTCATATTTTCAGGAATTGCAAAAGTGATAAATCTAGATCCGGATAACTATAATGATCAGGTCTTTGGAGACAATGTTGCCAAAGTCGCCATTATAGCTTCTTGGAAACACGGCGTAGAGTACGTATATTTAAATTAATATAAAAATTTACCGAAAAATAATGAGATTGCTGTTTTTTCCGATCCACTGTTACTTTTGTATCTTACACAAATTTGTAGTGTGTCCCGTAGAAACTGTGGTTCTTGAGCCAGATGTTCTTTGAATCGCACTTGTAAAATTTTTTTGGTTTTATTGTTTGTTCAATACCGTTCTTTTTTTTTTCATAATCTTTATAACCAAATAATTTCAAATGTATTTTGTTGTGTTTTGAACCTTATTTGAAGAGGTTTATCAGAAAGGATAATTAACATCAGAACATTTCGAAAGATTGGATTAAAAGGTAGGTATCATTGGCGCAACTAAAATGTGAACTCTCTTTGGTTGTCATGGGATTATTAACTGAAATTAATTGATGTAAGTCTGGCTTGCATAGCATTATAATCTTCAGTGAACAATAGTTCTCCGCTTGTCTTCCTCATTAATTACTACATGGGGTGGCGTATTACCAAAATCAGTAAAAGTTCCTCATCGCTAGCCCATCCCTTGCTACTAATCACTTTGTATTTTTATCTCATCAGTATAAAACGTACAAAATTTGTAATGTGATTTTGTTTAAATTTTGCTAGAAAAATGCCTCAAGTGATACAAATTGAACGAATTTGCACTGAAATTAATCATGTAAGGTGTACTATAAACAATCTTAAAAAAAAAAAAACCGAGAGAGTCAGACTTGTACAAAATTAATACTATGTAGGTACTAAAAACTTTATTATAATCGAGCAAAAAAAGCCAAAAAACTCTTCCAGTAAGGAAGCCCCCTTAATTTTTAATCTATTTTAATTATTTGTTGTTATAGCGCCAACAGAAATACAAATTTTGTGAAAATTTCAACTGGTTACCCTTCAGGTACGAAACCCTAAAATTGACAGGGACTCGTTACCAATGTTGCCGTTGCTATTACAATTGTAACAAATCTATTACTAAAAAGTTACACCAGTACGGTATTACGCAGGGTAGCCGTTTCCCCTGTAAATAATTGGTAACAAGTTTGTTTGACCTTGACAGTAGCGCGCTGAGCGCGTTATGATGAACTATAATTTGGTACAGTCGGTAAAGTAGAAAACTACTAAGTAAAGCGATTTAAAAAATGGCGGGCTTCAAAATTTATGAAATTGAAGCAATTTCAAGTAACATTTTTCTATTTTACAGATTTTACTTACAATAATTGAAACAATCAATAAGTAAAATAAATTTTTATTGTAAGTAAATGCTGAAAAATGGAAAATGTCACTTGTTTTAAATGAAAAATAAAAACATTTGTAATAAGTTTATTTTATTTAGAATAGGTAATTATGTCATTACATTATATTAAACATCATATTCACAATAAACATACACAAAATTATTGCAGAGTAAAATGTAAGATAACAATGTGATAATTATTTTACTATTAACAAAAACTGGGTACAAATTTTAAAAAATTATAATTTCAAAAAATTAAAAAGAAACAAAACAGTCATATCTATAAATACAATTATTGTTTTAAAAATCCCTAGTATTAACTTATTATTACACAAAATATAGGTAATTTTTCAGAGAAAACAAAATAATTAATATTTACAATTAATTTAATATAAAAATGTTATACCTACATTTTGATCTTAATTTTACTTACTAAGCCAATCAATTTTTCCTGATCAATTCAATTTTAATATAATAATATATGTAAAATTAAAAGATTGTTTTATGTCCGATTTACAAAAACTTTAAATTTTTATTCTAAATCTCTGTAAAAGTTTATCAGGCAACTAAATTTATCCATTAATGTTCTCAAGCTCTATTGAGTTGCCTAAACATATACGAAGACCAGTTGTTTTGAAATTTTATTGGTTAGGCCACTCTGGCATTGTACCGATCTTTTATCCTTTTACCCTTCTATCCATGTATTTCAGTCCAGCTTAATTGCAATGCCCATTGCAAAAGTCTCCATACCCAGGGATATGTAAAACAAAATAATAAAGGTGCAGTGTATCTTAAAATTAATAATTAAGATAGGTTTATATTGTTTTTTAAATGTTTAAAAATATCTTTAGCTTTTTATAATAAAAGGTACACAAATTTTCAACAATTTCGAAAAACAGACATCTGATTTATGCTCTTGGTAAACGAACCGTGGAAAATTAACATGTTCGTAAAATATAAAATTAATTTTTTAACAATGCATTCTATATGTCCTTATTTGGGTAGTATTTGATAAATATAGTTATAAATAATACCCAAAAAATTGAACAATTTCTTTTTGAGCATAAATCAAATGCCTTTTTATCATATTCTTTTAAATGTGTAAACCTATGATGAGGTTCTACAATACCTGCTCGTAAATTGCCTGTACACGCGGTTTCTCTATTAAAGGTTTCTCGACACATTCAATTTTATCATTAAAAAATTCTACTTTATTTTATCTGATGTTATATTTGAAATAGATAGTTTAATCAAAACATCACTAATTACATTTATTTTTGCAAGTAAATTTGATGAAGGCACAAAATGAAGGGACAAAATCACCTAATATTAAATTCTAAGAAAACGGTACTGATGAAATTTAACATTACTAATAACATTGAGAATGTAATAACAGTGACAACAGATAATCTAAATATGACAATGTCCGAGTCTACAAAATTTCTGGGAACTTTTCTTGACAGCACCTTATCATTTCAATCGTCATTGATTATATTAGTAAAAAGGTTAATAGTGGGTATTATGTTTTATTTCAACTAAAAAATATTTTAGGCAAACAACAACTTATAAATATATATTACGCAATGATATACTCTCATTTGTCATATAATATAATTGTGTGGGGAAATTCATCATCCTCTAATAGGCTTTTCATTTTACAAAAAAGAGTTTTGAGATTAATTCTTGGTCTTAATAGAAGAATATCATGCAAATCATATTTCCAACAACTTAATATTTTAACACTGCCTTCTATTTACATTTATAAATGCATAATATATATTAGGAAAAAAATTAATGAATTTAGTAAAAATTTAGATAATCATAACTACCAAACCAGGCATGGTAATTTGTTACGAATTCCGAATCATAGAACAGCGTTCTATCAAAAATGTCCGTCATATGCTGGCATACAATTATATAATAAATTGCCCCAGTCAATAAAAGATGAACAAATTTTTAATTCTTTTAAGAAAAAACTTAAGGAATTCTTGTTAGAGAATTGTTTTTATAATGTAGATGAGTACTACAATTTTAACTAAATAAGTATGGCTCCACTCGGTCTGTGTAATATTATTTATTTTTATTTGTTACGTGATATATGCTCTGTTTATTTTATATATATATTTTTTTTATGTTTACTTGCCTAAATTATATACATTCTTTGTAAAACACTTTGTAAAACTGACTTTTCCAATACCGTGTAGCAATGGTCTTACTGGAATAAAGATTTTTTTTTTTTTATAAGTTAATGACATCCTTAGAACCTCAGTATATTTTTACAGCTATAAATTACTTAAATCTAAAATAATTAATTAAATTTTACTCACCTACATTTTCTAAAAACATATGTCATTTTTTAGTGCAACATAACCTAATTTATTATCAAAGCCAGATTTACACCACTTCTTAATATTCAAATTTAGCTTTAACTTTATATATTTATAATAATTATCCCCGTATTTGATCATATATTGTATTAAAGTGATATTTAAGAGATTGCATTAGTAAAGTTTTTGATTTCTTTAATATTTATTCATTTTTTAATTATTATATGGGTGTAAAAACGGCTTTATATTTGGTGATCGCAGCGCGTGAAGCGCGATATGATAAACTACAAACAAGGAAACAATTCCCGCCTATTATTCAAACCTTCTGTTTTAGTTTTTCTATTGTATTACGACTTTTAAGAAAAGAGGAAAATCTATTACTTTTTAAAATATCGAAATTTTATGAGTGGCTCTATTTAAACTTCACAGCCCAAACTTAAAAAAAATTAGAAATCTTATTCATTTGTAATTTCTGTGTTTTCTTGTTTCAACAAATCCAAGATCACTTTATTATATTGCATGTATTATTTTTTTTTATTATGGGTCAGTTTTTAGTTTAGTAGGGGATTGCATTATAGCATAATTTATATATTGTTTTTAATAACGTAGGCTCTTTCAAGACTTTGAAGAAATGCTAAATTACAAAAATTTACCCTTAGGTGAATTTTGGGCTAACATCTTTAAAATAAAAAAAATTACTTAGATGAACCAAGTGTTTAAAATTTAAAAAAATTAATTTTTGGTTTATTATCATTACCCCATTTTTTTGCAGGAACAGAAATAATTTTCTCTCAACTAAATAATATTAAAGTTTTATTGTTAAATGTATTTAATTTTAATAATAGTTGTGGTACATTTATGTTACTTTAAAATATTATGTATTACGATTTTATTACCTTTTGGTTCAAAATTCTATTACGAAAAAATTTATTGGTGTGGCAACACTGCTCGTTACAGATCAAATAAAGATTTACTGCATTTTCACTCTTATTCCAGACTAGGAAAAATTAACTAAGAAAAGTAGAAAAATTATAATGATATTTAATAATAAGCACAGCTTTTCTACTATAGTAGAGTCAAATAATTACTTTCTTCTTGTTATCCACGACACTTTACTATAAGCCATTCACTGAATTTACACCCATATCGGATTAAGAAACAGATGCACGACTGAGCCGGTCTACAGGATAATTCCGCATCAGGTAGTTGGGTAAAATAAGCGTAGTCCTCCGGTGGGTAGAGGGTGAATATATTTTAATTATTAAATACTTATATAGTATGTAATTATGTTTATTAAAATTAAATTACCAAAGTAATACACAAATGAATGAAAATATTTATAATTTTGTTTTGGACATTGTTTATGGTAATACCATTTTCCCCGAATACAATAAACGCTTTATGGTCAGGAATTTCCGGAAGTCCCCTTCTCAGGTATAAAATTAAGATTA